GTGTGTGTGTGTGTGTGTGTGTGTGTGCACATTTGTATACGTCTGTGAGTCTACGTCACAGTGTACACGTCCGGCCTTCTGTTAATCAGCGGATGTTTCTTAACCACTTTTGACCTCATAGGATTTCCCAGAGTTTCCCATGCATATGTGAAAGGCCATTAACTCCTGCACTGTTTGCAGATCTCCAGTAAGGAGGGTCTTCTTAAGATTTCAGCTTAAAAAGGCCCAACATGCTCTACTTTAGGTTATAATATTCTACCATCCTGTCTTTCAAATGTTTTTAACTCATATTTGCCACCCTTCTAATTATCTCATGCCGTTCAACCCTTTGGTTTTTTGTTTTGTTTTTTAGCTAATGTGTTTTTTAGCTTGCATGCACTGTCAAAAGATTTTTTGGACAAAGTTGAAAAGACGAGGAAATGTAGGCAGGAATCAACAGGATTTTTTGAGAGTTATATTAAAAAAATGCATAGCCTAAGTATGTATTAAAAATGAATATATTGGCAATATATAAGAAATAAAGCCCTTATGTCTGTGTTGTAAATGTCCTGGAGCTAACACCTGGCTAGCGTAGTGTAGCAGAAAATGTGAGAAGATAGGAAGGTAGTCTGCCTGCTACAATCCAGAAAAAAAAAGGTTCACCTAACCACATGCCATACCTCAAAAACATTGCTTGTAGTTTGTGAAATCTCTGCAAAAACTGAAGTCAGCTGTTTCTGCTCCCATTTCACACAACCAGCCTGTTTCTTATCTTTATGCTAAGCTAAGCTAAGCTAACCATAGAATGGTATCAGTTTTCTCATTTGACTGTCTACAACAAAGGTATACACAAAATATTACGCATATTCAAAGTGAGGAGAAACGATAAGAGGTGAAAGTATTTTTATCATATCCCTTGTGGAGTATACTCTTCTGTAGAAATATGATCAAATTAAAGCACTTTCCAGCTGCCAGTGCAATTATGGTGCTTCGAAGGCGTTCATATAAGTCCAAAAGTTTCTAATTGTCAAATAAGAAAATACTTGACATATCACGAAGAGTCTTTAATCTTGCTTCGAGCACAAATCCTGAATTTTCCTGAATGAGCTGTGACTATTCTGGATTACAATGCAGCAATCTGTCTTTTCAAGTTGGTATCAGCAAATCCTATAAAAGTGCAGAATAATTTTTTTAATTGGAAATGTTGACAAAACCCCTGTGTATAAAGAGATAATTAAATAACAAACATTTTAGAGTTTTTTTTTAAACATTTATTTATTATTTCTCTTTGTCTTCTAGTTGTCTCCTTTTGTTCTCCTTCATTATCATTATCCTGATCACTACATGCTCCCGGATGTACCGATGAAGCATTTTCCTATCATGCAGCATCAGGGCCTCAGTAAGCCATGGTGGTAACAATAGCAATGTCCTATGGAAATGCATCAGGAAAAAGTCTGGGTGTGTGCGTATGTGTGTGTCTCTGTCACTGTGTCTTACCTGCGACATCTGTGGGCGTAGGTTGATCTCTCTCAGGTTGACAGCCTGAGGCAGCAGGTTGTTGAGCAACTGGCAGAGCAGCACGCCATCTCTCAGAGCCTGAGCCAGGTCGCACACCTGTCATAGCGCACACACAGAATTAATTTGAGGAACTGAAACGAGTTTGTGTATTCACACACAGGTGAATATGAATGTGTCGCTGCTTATTTACCTGTGCACCCTCCAGAGTGACCCTGTGGTTCTCTGGAAGAACTCGGCAGTCGATCAACCACATCGCGCACTGCCGCCACAGCTCCATCTTGGTTTTCTGAATGAAAAATAGAGAAAAGGGCAAACACACAGACAGAACTTAGACATGCAGCGTTCAATCAAATGGAGAGCAAAATGAATGTTCAATCAGAAAGGCGCACAGCAGACACTCAGCAATCCCTATCACGCCGTCATTCAGTGAAACACCTTTGTTGAAACTCAATGCAACAAAAAAAAAAGTTGCCGCTGTCTCAGTAAACCTGATCGTACGAGTCCAAATCAACGCAGGACCATTTAACCATCGGTCCTTACCTTCACTGGTTCCTCCCGGCACTTCTATGTGTTCTTTCTGCTGTTAACCTCCCGTTCTTCCTTTCATTATCTCATTTTCAGACTTCGGCGCTCTTGTTCTGTCGTTCTTCCGTGGTGGGTGTTCTGCAGAGCTGCACTGTGTTGAAGGCTTTTAACTTTTTTCCCGCAACTTCCTTTTTCCTCTGACGCACCCTCTCTCTCTCTCTCTCTCACACACACACACACGCACACACACACATACACACACAAAAAGCTGCTGCTGCTGCTGTTGTGACAACTGGCACAAGCTGATAAAAAAAGAGTGAGACTTGATGAAAATGTATGTGAGACATGAGACAGAAAAGCAGCAAGTAAGCCGCTGGACTGTCAACAAACAAACATTACTTGTCTAGTCATCTACGCACAGATATTTCGCCTCAATAAGGATTTTTTATCCACTTTTGTGGCAGTAAAACGCTGCAGGAACCAAACACACGTCAACAAATCTGTGAAATTCAAAATTACACTGCAGAGTTCATATTTAATCTGTCCTAAAGCTCAACAGCAGAGAGACACACTGTCTATCAAAGGAAAATCCTCGAGCTGCCTAATAAATAATGAAACATCTCCTCAAACACTCTGACAGCACCCAGGGGTGATTTTAGGGCTTTGTGGGTGATTTTACCCTTGTGTTGCACAAAATTCACAGCTGAGACGCCCCAAAATCAAAACTTATTCAGATGTAACATCTCAAACTAAATCTTTACGAGTTTCTTTTTGTGCGACTAAAAACAGTGGAAGTACCATCTAGTGATATCAGTAATTTAAGCCTTCACTCATTAACAACAAAGCAGGAGAGCAGTATTTAGTCAAGTACAATTTTGGGATATTGTTATCCATATAAGTACTTCCACTGGTACTGCATTTTTACTCCATCCAATATACGAGAAGGAAATGGAATGGCTTTTGCACATTTTACTTGCAAAACATACAACTGTTGATTTCAAATTTCAATGCCATTGATGTTTTTTGGACGGTTTGTCCAGTTCATGGTGACAGGAAGCTGGTAAACCATGAAGAGCTTGCCAGTCTACAGGACGATTGACACAGAGAGTCAGACAACTGCTCACACTCGGCTTCACACTTACAGTGAATTTAGAATCACCACTTAACCTAACGTGCAAGCCCTTAAACTGTGGGAGGAAGTCAAAGTACCCAGACAGAGAGCCTATGCAGTCACAAGGATAATATGCGAAATCCACACATTGAATTTTCATGCAGTGTTGTGCACATGACTACAAATTTGTCACATAGTAAATAATAGATATACACACATAAAAATTTAAACATTGTTGATTTTGGCAATTTTGGGGGGCATTGTAGTTACTGTTACTTATCATAATAAAGATAAAATTAGATTACAATCCTTTCCTCAGAACTATAAAGTTGCAATATTAACATGTATGTATTTTTAAATATCAGATTTATCTTTCTAAATTTATGCTAGTGGTATGGCTTCTTGGAGACTTCTGAGTATTTTTCAAATATGCATTTATTTTTAAAATGGCCATTAACTTTTCACTCAAATCTCTGTTGTGAGGTGGCAGGAAATGTGTCAAAATGATCTGAGTGTCTAGGTTAGAGTTGGAAGGGGAAAAAAGAAAGAAGTATGGAAGAGCTGTTTTGCAAGAAAAGTCGGTTTAACTTATGGTGAACAGCAACCACTGTGGCCACAAGATGAAATTGCAGGATTACAGTAATAGTATTACTGGTGGTTGAGCAACATTAGGCGTTACACACATTTGACCCAAGCGTTCACAGAGGGAGGGTTTTATGGGTATTTCTTCTTATGGTGGCATAGTCTTGGTTTAAAATATATGGACCGGACAGTGAGCTGATTCATGTAGACCAGGAAACAGAAGAGAAGACGTGACTGATGAAGGGTATGACGGACCTCCCTCATGTTTTAGTCAAGGCTATTACATATCTTAAATTTCAAACGGGTGCTAATGATGTGATTATGATGGAACCCTAAAGCCCTGGGTTGAGAGCTTGATAAAAAAGGCAGCAGATCTTCTGGAGGTTTGTAAGGCTGTTTCACAGCTCATCCAAGAGGTTTCTTCAGCTCTAAAAAGCAATATGGAGAGTCCCAGGTATTTAACCCTTAGTGGGCGTTGTCCCCTTTGGAGGTAAACCAGGTCGTTGACCCCCTATTGATCATGTTAGTCATAACATGAGCTAAGGTGTGGAAAAAAAAGACATGGGCCATTACCATCACTAGTGGTTAAGGGCGAACCTACTGTGAGACCTTGCCCCCAAGCCATCATGAGACTTATTGAGATCACCTGACACAAGGTGTGAGTGGGGGTGAAGCATCTGGGAAGACTGCATCATCGGGGGCTGATAGCTGGTTTCGTAAATTACCACCTGTATTCAACGCTGGTTGTTCACAGTGGACATAGATCAGGGGTGTCAAACATAAGGCCCGATCCAGCCCACTGGATAGCTCTGGAAAATGTAAAGGACAGCATAAATGTTTGGATTTTTAACTGTACTTTTTTAATGTTTTACTGTTTTTCCTACAGGTAAAGACCTCTCTCATAGCCATTCATACATACTAAGTAACAGATAAACAGTTAAATTCAGAAATTTAAATGACAGAAAAGGTCTCGTTGTACAATCGTTTTTGCTTGTTTTTTTGTCAATTAACAAAGACTTTCTCTTTTATAACTAAATGAAATGAGTGCATTGAGCTACCAGAGCTTTTTCTCTAGTTTTACACATTTATTTTATACAGCTGACAGATTTATTTCATTCACTGCAGCAGCATTTCTTTGTTGTGTAGAAAGACTGATGTGCATTCTTGAAATTGCTCTTCTTTATTTTTAATCTCACTGATTTAATGTATATTTAAAATTCTTTACACTGACAGAAAATAGACTACCATTGGTCCGGCTAACTTAAGTGGTCTGTATGTGGCCTCGAAGCGTGGCATCCTCAAAAGTATCCTTCGTCCTTTAGGTGCGTTTGTACAGCGGAGTCCTCTCCAGTTGACGAGGCTATTCTATCTTGAACCTTGTGTTTATAGAGCAGGTGTTTCATCTACATAGAGGTCCGAGCACGCCTCACTGCCCTGCACAGCAAACACTATGTTGTTTAGCTTGTGTTTTGCCCTCGGGACAAACCAGTTTGTATCTGGTTGTGATGTCATTTTTGGAGAAAATACTTGTTGCTCTAGGTTTGTGAAAGCCTTTCACCTCTCATTCAGGGCTTCTTCAGTCCTCAAAACAAAAAGTGGATTTCTCATCACCCACTGGAACTCAAAGTAGCTGTGATCAGGACCTCTACACCACCGGGAGAAGAACATTATCTCTAATGGAGGATAAAAAAGGACAGGAGTACACACATGTTGGCCTAAATCAAATCAGCAAAGATGCACAGGAAAAAATATCAGAAACCAAAATGAATAACAAAATGGAACAACTGTTGTCCTTTATGTAGCAAGTTTGTCAGAGAAACTACAGTTGCCTTTTTTTAATCTCTCAAGACTACTATGACCTGGATGACTGAAACTATGGTAAATGATAACCTTTACTCCACTGAAGATTAGGAAGTTTACCACCTAAACAGAATTCAATGCTGTCGAGTCACAAGACTACAAGTTTTCCTGATCCCTGGGGTGTAACCATATCAGTAATACAATATCGTTAAAACTGAGTTTTCCTTCCTACTGTCGCCACGTGCTTGCTCAAAGGGGCTCATCTGATTGTGGGGTTTTCTCTGTATTATTGTAAAATCTCAAAAAGCACTTTGAGATAAATAATTAAACTAAATTCTCACAGGATGTTAAAAGTAAAAAATAACTCACAATCCACATTCAATCAAAACGGACATCAAACTCATATCTTGCTGGAGAGAATGGTCCAAATGTGGAGCGAAGCCTTGAAACCAGACTATGCAAATAAATGATGGCACCCAAAATGTAAGCAGCAGCGTCTGACTATTCACACTCTGTCCACAGACCTGCTGCTGCTTCTCATAATGTTAAATTCATTATGCTTTTATCATGCTTCCTAGCATCCTCTGTGCTCCACTCCCCCCAAAATTAAGATTCATGTTAATTATATAGCACTAGGTTGTAAAACAAGACGCAAGATAATGTTGGAATAAATAATTCATCCAGAAGAAAAAAGCTTTTATTCATGGTGAAACGCGCAGGATGATTTCAGCCTGAGGAAATGAACTACTGTGAAGTCTGTTGGTACAGTGGCAGATTGTGGCTCTTGGTATTCTTGGGCTCACCTCACTAAAAGTCATCCATACTTAAAAGACCGATGTGTTCAATGTAACCCTTTCAGTCTTGGTTCGTACACACGCAACAATAGAGGGGGATGTTTCCTGTCAAGAACCTGGCACTGTACCACCATCATGGAAGATGTTGAAATCCCTTAAGTTCCCCTTTATGAATCAAAAGCGAGGAGGGTTGTCGATCAAACACTGGTACATCCTCCCTTACATATGCGCCTTTAAACATCCTCGCTGGGAGGAGCTACGGTGAGAGAAAGAGATGAGAGGGAGGGAAACAGGAAGGCATGCTGGTTTAATGAAAAGCACCAGGCTCAGCAGGGATTTAAAACCTTTATGTTGAGAGGCCAAACAGCTTCAAAAGTCTTGGTCTAATAAGACATTAATCCTGCACTGTTTACTTTCCCCCTTTGCCACTTTCCAACAACTATACTGGCTCTGTATTGGCCAGCATTGGCCTTGCTGAATGCAATCAGCCTTATCAGCAAACAAGAACACACTCACTGGTTCCAGTTGCCAAGATAATTATCTGTGCCAAATCAATATTGCACCATATGATGATATAACACGATCACATCAAAGTCATATCAAAAAGAAAACAGCATTTTGTATGAAACTTCAAAAATACTTAATGCTCCATAGTGTCTGTAGAAAAAGTAAACACACAAACTGTCCCCATTTAATTTCCTTAGTTACTGACACTCTTTACTTTCAGATTAACATACTGCGGCTTTACATATGCTGAGCACTTGCCATCAAGTTGAGTAAATTGCCTTTTGTTGTGTAAAACTGGCAGGTCTGTGTCACTTTTCACTTCAACACTGGGTGTCACCCTCATGCAAAGCACCAGTATTCCTGC